CAACAGGCCCCTTCCATTTTCCTTAGGAGGGCAAACTTGCCTAAAACAATGCATTCCTTGCTAATAATTTCCTTTTTTCCTCTCCCAGACCCAGGCCTGTGGCAAAGACTGATTTCCAATTTCAGCCAATTTAAAAAGTGATCAAACTATGTAATTAAGAGGAAAAGAACACAAAATAGTCTGTTTAATATTATCCTATATTTATATATTTTTAAAAGTTCTCTCCCTGTCTATTAAGGTCTTGTTAAGGTTGGCCCAAGCTCCCATTCTATGAATTGAAGAAAGTCCAATGTCGTTCTCAAAGTTTCTTCAGATTCCTGAGACTCAGGGCCACCTTTGGTTCTCAGCACCTGCTTTCTCCAACAGTGATTATCTTGATATCCAAAGCATGTCACTCTTTCCCTGTTCATACTGATTCAATGTGAAATTCAGCTATTCTACCTAATTTCCACAAAAAATGAGTTGCACTTAGTGTTATGTGTTTAGCAGACTTTATTAAATGTTTATGGAGGTGGGGCATTTACATTAGAGTGACGCAAACAGTTTAAAATTGTATCTGTATTTCATCAATTCTAAGACATGTAACTTTTCACATTTTAATATATCTGAAATAAGAATACACCTGACAATTGAAGGCATGTCATAGTTTAGTTGGCAGTGTCTTTTCTTTCTTAGTGGTACATGAAATAATGGTGCATTTTATAATCAATGACATCTTAGATTCAATGATCAAGGGAATTCTGCTTCTCTCTTCTTAAAAAGACCTCTGGTGATTTTTTTCTACTTGAGCTCAACCTTCTTGCTGTGGTGCTTGATCCAGTCTGGTGCCCTATGTCACATTGCTTTAGCCCACTACTGATTTCCATAGTAACTGCAACGGACAGTTCCATGCTAGCTCATACTAACAATACCGTCTTGAGTGTGCTGCGTATCTTTTTACTTTCTGCCGCAGGGAAATCTGCCTGGCCAAACAGTGCTCAGAAATGTGGGTTTAACATCCCCAGGGGCAGCCTTCAATTAATGGGTGTCTGGAGCTGGTGGTAAATGTCCCTGCCTCCCTTCCTCCAGGGAGATAATTTTGGGAGGCCTTTTGTATGCTTCTCAGGTGGTTCTGGACAAATTAAGCCCACAGTGAGAACCTTGATAGCACACCTTATACTAGCTTTTGCACCTTCCATTCTCACCGTTCTAGCTTTCTCATTCTTGCTCCCTGGGATCATCTCTCAAGTAAATTACTTGCACACAAGTCCCTGTAGTAGACTCTGTTTTTGGTGTAGGGGGGCAGAGAACACAAGTTAGAACCTTCATTGTACTCTCCCTCTCAGAACCCCCTCTTTCCTTAGGTAGAACCATTGCTTATGTCAAGACTCAGCTCAGGCTACCCTTTTGTATTCCAAGATTTCAACTGCAGCTTTGAAAGATTATTGTAAAGATATACCAGATTCTGTCTAGGTCAAGGGGTAGGGAGTCTTTTAGTTTTTCAGCTCACATTTTTATAGAAAGGAAAACTAAGGACCTATGTCAAAATGTGAAAAACGGTTGTCTGAAGATGGAAGGATGGGTGCTTTGAATTTTCTTCTTTCTGTTATACTGTATTTTCTAAAATTTCTGTAACAAACATGTCAATTTTATAGTGAGGAAAAAACAATAAAAGTTAATGTAAAAATTCAATCAAATTGACTTTTTTAAAGTAACTTTATTGAGGTATAATTTACATACCATAAATTCACCAACTTTAAGTATACAATTCAAGGATTTTTAGAAAGTTTACCAAGTTGTGAAACCACTACCACATCCAGTTGTAGAACATTTTCTTCTCCCTAATATGATTTTTCATATTTGTTTACAGTTAATCCCCATTCCCACCCACAACTCTAGGCAAACATAAATCTATTTTTCTGTCATTATAGATTTGTCTTTTCTGGACATTTCATATAAATAGAATATCATATAATATATAATCTTTTGTGTTTGGCTTCTTTCATTTAGCATAATGTTTTTAAAGTTCATTCATATTGTAGTATTTATCTGTATTTTACTTTTTTATTAATATTGATATTCCATTATGGCTATACCAAATTTTGTTTATCTCTTCACCAGTTGATGGAATTTGGGCTCTTTCCACTTTTTGACTATTATGAATAATGTTGCTATGAACTTTAATGTATGAATCTTTGTGTGAACATATGTTTTATTTCTCTTTAGTAGACATGTAGGAATAGAATTGCTGGGTCATATGAAAAAATTATATTTAACCTTGTAAGAAACTGCAAAATTATTTTCCAAAGTGACTGTACTACTTCACATTCCTTCCAGCAAAATTTGAGAATTCCTGTTGTTTCACATTTTTGTCAACACTTGTTATGTTTTTTTTAATTGAAGTATACCTGATTTAAATATTATATTAGTTTCAGGTGTACAGCATAGTAATTCAGTATTTTTAAAGATTATACTCTATTAAAAGTTATTACAAGATAATGACTATACTTCCTTGTGCTATATATCCTTGTTTCTTATCTATTTTATATATAGTACTTTGTATCTTTTAATCCCATACCCCTAATTTGCCCCCTCCCTGTCCTTCTTTTTGATCATAGCCATCCTGGTGGATGTGAAGTGGTATCTTATTGTGGTCTTAATCTGCATTTCCTTAATAACTAATGATGTTAAGCATCATTTTATGTGCTTATTAGCCATTTGTACATCTTCTTTGGAGAAATGTCTATTCAAATCTTGTGCCCATTTAAAAACTGGATTGTCTTCTTATCGAGTTGACGAGTCATTTCTATTTTCTAGGTACAAGTTTTTTGCCATACATGTGATTTACAAATATTTTCTCTGTGGCTTGCCTTTTTACTTTCTTAATGACATCTTTTGAGTAAAAAAGTATTTTTTAAATTTTAAAATTGGAAATAATATTCTCAGAAAGTTACAAAGATATTATCAAGAGGTCCCTGTACTGTTTATCCAGTTTAACTCCCAAAATTTGAGTTTTGATTAAGTCCAATATATTAAATTTTTTCTTTTATGGATCATCCTTCTTGGGTTGTGTCTATAAAAATCTTTGCCTAACTGAAGGTCTTGACATTTTCTCCTGTTGTATTCTAAAAGTTGTATAACTTCAGCCCTTACATTAATGTCTCTGAGTTTGAATTAATTCTGTATATAGTGTGAAGTAAGGATCTAGTTCATCTGTTTTTGTTTTTGTTTTGCATGTGGATATTCAGTTGTACCAGCACCAGTTGTTGAAAACTCTCCTCTTCTATCAAATTGCCTTTGTCAAAAGTTAATTGGTCATAAATATAAGGGTTTATTTCTGGACTTTCAAATCTGTTCCTTTGATCTATATGTTTATCCTTGTGTCATTACCAAACTGTTCTGATTACTGTAGCTTATATTAAGTTTTAAGATTAGGAAATGAGTTATCCAACTTTGTTCTTTTTCAAAAAATTTTGGCTATTCTGTGTCTTTTGGATTTCCATATGCCGTTCAGGTACAGTTTGTCAAATTCTGCAAAATAGTCTGCTGGAATTTTGATGGAGATTGAGTTGAATCTATAGATCAATTTGGGAAGAACTGCCATCTTAACAATATTGGGTCTTCCAAACTGTGAATGTGAAATGTCTCTCCATTTATTTAGATTATAAATTTTCCTCAGCAATGTTTTGAAATTTTCAGTGTTCAAGACTTGCACTTCTTTTGCTAAATTTATTCATAAGCATTTTATTCTTTTAAATACTATTGTGAATGGAATTGTTTTATTTTCAGACTGTTCATTCTTGTATATAAAAATACAATTTATTTTTGTATATTAATCTTCTGTGACCTCGCTGAACTTGTTTATTAATTTTAATAGGGGTTTGTGTGCACACATGTGTGTATATTCCTTAGGATCTTCTACATTTAGAATCATGTTGTCCACAAATAAAGACAGTTTTACTTTTTCCTTTCTAATCTGGATGACTTTTATTTCTTTTTCTTGTGATTATACGGGCTAGAACCTCCAGCATGATGCTGAACAGAAGTTGCAAGAGCTGAAATTCTTGCATTTTTTTTTTTTTTTACCATTAAAGTATGATATTAGCATTTGCTTTTCATAGATGCTGTTTATCACATTGAGGAAATTCTCTTTCAAATTTGTTGAGAATTTTTATTATGAACTAGGTTTTGTTAAATGCTTCTTCTGCATTTATTGAGATGATTGTGGGTTTTTATCCTTTATTCTATTAATATGGTATATTACATTAATTGATTTTAGAATATTAAACCATCTTTGCATTCCTGGATTGAATGGTACTTGATCAGAGTGTATAATCCTTTTTACATGTTGCTGGATTCAGGAGAAATCTGACTTTTAAAGATATCCTGACTTTGGAAGAAATGCAAAAATTAGTCAAGTGGGGCTTCCCTGGTGGCGCAGTGGTTGAGAGTCCGCCTGCCGATGCAGGGGACACGGGTTCGTGCCCCGGTCCGGGAAGATTCCACGTGCCGCGCGTGCGCGGAGAGGCTAGGCCCCTGAGCCATGGCCACTGAGCCTGCGCGTCCGGAGCCTGTGCTCCACAACAGGAGAGGCCACAACAGTGAGAGGCCCGCATACCAGAAAAAAAAAAAAATTAGTCAAGTGAAGTGGTCTCTTTATAAAATCTTTAAGGTTTTAAAAAAAAATTTCCAGTAACTATGATACCTTTTATTCATAACTTGAGTCAAAGCATTAATTCTTGAACTGAAATACTCTTCCTTGTTTATTCCCTCACACAAATGCTTATGTAATTTTGCTTTACACATAATCTTTCTCTGCAACTTTATAGTAATTGAAAGCAATTTCCAGAAAGTCATATGATTTCTCACAACATCTCTGTGAAGTATATTTGGAGAGAGGTTGGAATAGTTTTTCAAACAAAAAGGCAAAGCATGAAGTAATAGATTAAGACTACATGGTGAATCACTGTTTATAGCTTGAAATCTTTAAGGATTTAATTATTTTCTTAAAAACTAGAAAATTCAAATATCAGTTTTATTCATCATTAGGACCAATAACCCAAAATATTCAAAACACTTCTATTGAATATAATCTATTTTCCATTAACACTGTAGAATGTGTTTTCAAACTATGCATTCTTTTTACATTATACAAATATTGTATTCACCTGGATAGGAGGACGTCCATTCAATTTCATGAAAGCTTATTATTCATTTCTCAGTAGTATTTTTTGAGATCAGTATTCATTTTATTTCATCATTATAATTGTAGGTTCGAACTCTTATAACCCCTTTGAAACATAAAAACTCAGAAAGTTCAAATTATGCAATTTTAATATCTAGTTCTTGTTTTGAACAGTGAACATTACAGATTTATCTCCATTTTCATCCTTTTTTTTCAAAATGAGTTTGAAAAGGTCATTCTCTTTTTTACAGGCTAGAAAGTATCCTTTGTACAATGAAGACTCAAACTGTATCTTATCATCATGTCCTGGAACACTTCTCTGAAAGAATATGATGTCATTTCCTTCATCATCAATATTATCAGGAGGACTCATTTCCTATAGAGAAAAAAAATTACTTAATTTTTTTAGGTCATGACCAATATGAATATGTGCAGTTTATTTTGAAATATATTACTACACAGAACTAAAGAGGTTTATATTCTCAAGAGTTAAGAAAAAAAATCTCTGATTATAGGAATACTGATCTCCTTTCCCTCTTAATTTCTAACCTCCCATTCTTCTTGTCCACTTTGGCTTATAACACTATGGAATGCACATTCAGGTCCAGGCCTCTAGTTTTTCCCAATATACCCATCAGATGATTTCCTTCTCTCCTCTCCCATTAAGTGGAGTTCTTATTTGCTTAAGATGAAGTAGAGTTCCAGCAAAGACCACAACCTTTTTAGGCTAATATCAGTTCCTGTCTTCTCCAGCCATTCACAGCTAAAGACATTGATGACCTCCACCCATAGGCCTAGGGTAGCTCCAGTGTGTGAACCAACAGTGAGAGAGGCAGGCAGTGGCAGTAATCTCAGCTGCTTCCTTCAGTGGAGCCTAGAACCGAAACTGGCTATAAATAGACCCGTTATTTGTTCTAGGGCTTAGTTAGCAGCTTTTGGTGCTTCCCTGCCAAGCATTCCAGTTCCATAGTAGTCCTGAGTTTCTATCCTGAAAGTAGTCTGTCTCTTGGCTGGACCTTGCCCTGGGAGGCCAGATGGTGATTCCTATATCTCAGCTGCGGAGTAGGGATTTCCTAAGAATGGCTAGATCACTTGAAACTATAATCCGGCTGGTCACCTAACTGACAGCACTGCGGGCACTTTTCCTATTTTTGCATCATGCCTACTTTCAGGATGGACTAGAAATGTGAGGACCACCTCAGGTTCTTTCCATGTTAATCCCAGAACCAGCAGAAAATTTGAACTTAATTTTGACCCTCTGGAAGCAAAGATCTTCATGATCCTAAGGACTGACAGAGAGACCTTCAGACCCAAAATAGCATCCCAGCATCCTCCTTAGATGCCTGAAAGAACCTGTTTTTTTCCCCAAACTTCTCAATCAATTATGGAATTTATAGCCATAACTCTTGACCTTTGTCCTTTATCAATAAGTGTGAGTCTTGAATTAAAGAGGATTAATTAGTTCTCCCTAATTATAATTAATAATAGAATTAATTAATTCTATTATTTGCCAAGCACTTTTTCCATCTTCTTGACACTCTCCCCAGTCTCTCAATAAGAATCTACTTATATATAGATCAGGCTTTTCCCAGTTTCTGACTCTGTCTCTGCAGCTGAATTAGTTTTCCTCTATCCCACATGGCTTCAGCTTGGCCATCTCCCTCTTTCCCTTCTGATTTTGTTGCTAAGAAACAACATGCTTAACCCTCTCCACCTTGCCTGTCCACCTCCAGGCTTCTAACGCCATTACAATAACTGAGGTTCCTACCTGTCAGGTCAGGGAGCAGGGACTCCAAATTGTCACCTGAAGAGGTGGTACTCTGCTTGGAAGGGGATGGCTAAGGGATTTGTTTGGAGGCTCTATTTGTTACAGATACACTAATCTTATCTGCATTACATTTTAGAGTGGCTTTCTCCTCCCTCCCAAGTTGCCCCTTGGCATGTCTACGAAAGTCATACTCTAACTTTCAGTGGGAATTGGGTGATCTTTATTGCGGTTCTTTATTGGCAAATCCCCACTCAGAAGGCCTTCAAGACACGGGATTCACCTTTGAAACACTGCCAATTTGTGAGCATACCCTGCCTGCTTTCATTGGGAGGAAAGTTTTCTGGGTCAACCCATCTCTACAGTTAATGGTTGTTTATCTAATAATAATGGAAAAAAAAGAGAAAAATAATGATGGAGGATAGAGAAAAAAGCAGTGGTCAGAAATAATTTATACCTGGCTTTGAGATACATTATACCATTGCTTTTACAACAGATCCTATTAATTTTTTTCACTTAGATTAACATTAAAAATAACATACATCAACTGAAAGCTGAAAGTTGTAGCCTAACATAGACTTAGGCTAAGAAGTAGGAACAAAACAATTAGGGATTGGGCTTCCCTGGTGGCACAGTGGTTGAGAGTCCGCCTGCCGATGCAGGGGACACGGGTTCGTGTCCCAGTCCGGGAAGGTCCCACGTGCCGCGGAGCAGCTAGGCCCGTGAGCCATTGCCGCAGGGCCTGTGCTCCGCAACGGGAGAGGCAACAGCAGTGAGAGGCCCGCATACCACACACAAAAAAAAACAAAAAACAAAAAATTAGGGATTAAAATATTATCATCATAATTTACAAAGTAGAGGGTTTACAGAAGAACGATTAACTTCATTCTGTGTAGCAGGACTTATTCTGGAAAGTCACATGCAGTTCTTAAACATGATAATTTATATATATATTCTGTATTATTATTTATCTATAGATTAATTGTTCAGAAGACCTAGGTTATGAAACAAGTGTTGATCCTCTTCCTCCCTACGGCAGGCTCAGAAAAACCATGATGTTACTACAGTAGGTTAAAGAGCTTGACAGTTTTTAGTAACTGTCTATTTTAACGGTTCTCTACTTCTCGCTATTCTTATTCTAGACAAAAGGTTGGACTGGGGATATTTTGGTTTTCTAATTTTGCACATCAGTATAACTAAAACAAATTAAGGCTCAGTCTTACCTTAAAGGAAAGAATTTTGTTCTTACAGGAGAGGGTAAAAATTTTCTTACAGTGCACAGAGATGGTTACTGCCAGACCTCTAGTGAGGCTGTCTTTATACATACATATGACAAATATGGTCTGGGGTGCATTATCTAAAATAAACATTCACAAATGAGAAAACTAGTTAGAAGAATTTTTCCAAATAAGCATTTAGGGAAATTAGCCAAAGGATAATCCTTAATAGGACCATTACCAATCCCACACTCTGAGATTCAGCCATGTAGCAGAAGGAGACTTATACACAGTGACACACATATTCTTTAAAACACATTTAAATATGTATTATAATACAAATGCAGCAACTTTTATAGTGTTTTAGAGATATTCTGAATTCTAAAAGATTGTCTTTAGCTTTTAAACGCTAAAGAGAATATTAAAGCTCTATCTGTTAAGGTAAAACTTCAGCATGTTTCAAGAGTACATCATTCACTTTTTCAACTCTGCCTAAACTCTGTTATTTGAAATTCATTCCTTGGAAGGCACAGTAAAGTTATTCATTTCTAAGGCACTCTAAATTTCTGGTGGAAGACAGACTTATTAGAAGTGCTTGTATATTTATATTTAATTTTGACTTCTGAAAATGTTATCAGCAATTTCAGCTATAACCAGCAGGTATTAAGGATCCAACTCAATGGAGAGCATATACAGTTAATGCAATTACAGTGAAGGGAAGGTGATCCAAATGTAGGCTCAAAGATCATGACCCCGGCACTATCTTTATTGTATCAATTTTTCAGCCCAACTAAAAATTATGGATACCCTATAAAGTTTCTTGTAAGTGAAATTACTACTACCATGACTTTTCATGTAAGCATTAGGTCTATCACAGAAAATGTAGTCAGTTAAATGGAATGGGAAGAAGTAGCTTGTCATTTCCATGTTTACAAATGTATATAAAAAAATACCTGAACAGTCAGAATCAGGCATATCCTCAAAGACGGGTTGACTTTCCTGGTTAATGAAGAGAACTTGGTCGTTCAAATTTCGTATGACTGAGAACTTAGGTTCAAGCTTGCCAAAGTAATCTGATTCCAGGTCTTCTACAACACACATGAAATCTTTTAAAAAATAATCTTTTTTTTCTAAATTTACAAATAAGCATATTATATATTCCAGTTTTCAATAACAATCACTATCTTCTGTTATAGAAGCTAAGGTAAAGTTGCACAGTGTTTTACCCACTTCCAGGGGCATACCTTGATTCTTGTTATCACTCAGAACCATGCTACTTTTGAAATCTTAAATTCAAATATCCTACTTTTGACCACAATCTCCTATCCTTTTAGTCTTCTTATACTTCTCTTCCACTTTACTGAGTCTTCCTGATGCTTACATTTTCTTCCTATCTAACCTCTTCCTGTCTTCCCTTTCTTCTCTATGCAGCCTGGACCTCATGGTTCATCGTTTTATCTACACTTTTGCCAGTATCTTAAATCCCAAACTCATTTGCCTTTTACTACAAAACTCTAAACCTGGCTGCTGAGTGCGCTGCTGGTAAACAATCATACAAATGTGCAAATTGGCGCCATAACAAACACATCAATTGTCAATACTTCTTTTCCAGTTCCGCATTCTCTTCCATAGTCCATAGCTTCAATTTCCAGCCTTCTTCATTCTCCTCAGGATCTCTGCATCATCACCTCTGCTTTCACTTTCAGCAAATGATTTCCTGCTACTCCACTTACAAACTTAACTATGGCATCACCTGTTATTTTCTCTACCCTCTTGTCCCAAGGGACATGTGAAAAAGGTGGATCTTCTGCTACCTAAGGTTCACCCCATTTGTGCTCTGCATGTACTTTCAATTAAACCTTGATTTATCAATTATTCCCTCTCTTCCATCAACTCAGCAATTCTACTTCCTGGATTTTATCCTAAGGAAACATTAGAGAAATGTGTAAATATTTCTCTACCAGAATGCTTATGGGAACACTTTAATAATAAAAACAAACTGGAAATAATTTAATGTCCATCAATTGGGAATCGATCAAGTAAATTTTGATATGCCCTTACTATGAATTATCATGAATTTAATATAATTGTAATTATTCATTGCCATGGAAAGATGTCCATGTGTATTAAACTAGAAAAAGAAGCTTAAGTATAGTATTATATATATATATATAACATCAAAATGATAGAAATGAATATTTTGGGGTTTTTTCATATTTTAGTTTCTCATTTTCTTATCTTCATTGCCTGAATTATTTATAATAAACAAATTATTTTTATAATCAGAAAAACATAAGGCTTTACATTTTGAGATTTAAAACACCTCCATCAACAGAATCCCACTTTGTAGCTAGTATTGTTTCTCTCCTCCTTTTAACAACCAAGCTTCTGGCAAGAATTGTATGTATCATTTCCTTACTTTCTATTCACCCTTCTACTCATTGCAAGCTTCTCCTCACTGGCTCCATTTCTCCATCAAATTGCTTTCACCGAGATCACCAAACTCCCTGTTGCTAAATGTAATAGATAATTTCTGGCTCTTGGTTTTCAAGGCTACAAAATTCAGCACAGTGCCTATTATCTCTGTCTTGAAATGCTCTCCTGGGATTCTGTGGCATTCTCTGTTTTTCTTCTTCCTCTTTGGTTGCTCTGTTCTTTATTAGCTTCTCTTTCTACTGAATCCTTTAAATGTAGGTATTCCTCAGAGTGTAGTCCTTGGCTTTTACTTCCTCATGCTACACATTTCCTCTGATTTGTCATGTTATTCTTATAGCTTCAGATGTAATTTCTATTGTATGTATGTCTCCTACATCCGTATATCCAGCCCCATATTTTCTCCTGAGTTTAGAACCACATGTCCAAGAATCTATTGGACATCTCCATTAGGATGTTCCACAGATATCATCATTCATCATTAATAAATTCATCATCTATCTTCCTCTTTGCCCTGCAAACCTCTCTACCCTGCTCTTCCTCTTGTGTTTCTTATTTCACTTAATGGTACAAATTGCCTACGTGAAAAGACATAGGCATCATCTTTTCTGTCTTTCTTTCCATCCCCTTCCAAATCCATGTCCTGCTGATTCTTCCAAGTTTTCCTAAAATCCATTCACAGCTCTTCAATGGCACCCCACTGTGCCTACCTTAATTCATGTCGCCATGATTTCTTATAGGGACTACAATAATAGCTTCTTAATTGGCATTCCCCTCCCCTCTTTTTTTGCCCCCACAGCAATTCTTTATACTGAAGCCAGAAGGAATTAAAATTCAATTTTAATTAAAGTTAAAATTCAGAGATACAATCATGTTATCTTTGAATTTTAATGAATGACATTGCCTCCCAGAATAAAGATTATATTTTCCATATTTTCCTTGCAGTTGGTGCCATATGACTAAATTCTAGTCAATGGAGTATGAGTGGATTTGATGTTTACAACTTCTAAATAGAGCTTTTAAAAGGAGTGGGCCTGTCTTCCTCTTATTTTGAACACCTTCTTGCTAGCTGGGATATGGACCCAGGAAGTGTAATGATGATTTTCAAGTATGTAAATGAGTTCAACAACTAGGGATGATGGAATGGAAGAAGACAGAAGAAACTTTAGATTCCAACATCATCAGGCTGCATCCAGCCATACTAATACTGAACTGCTTACTTGGATTCGTATTTGAGAGAAATATTTTCTATCTTATTCAGTTACTATATTTTTGGATCTCTTTGTTACAGCAAACTAATCTGTATCCTAGATCATACATATTGTGCTTAATGAATCACCATTGCCCCAAAGATAAGGTCCAAATTCCATATCTTGGAATAACAGAACCTTCTCGATCTGCACCCTATTTATCATTCTTCTCTCATCATTTTCCTACTCTTACTCTACTCCCATTCTGAATTACTCTTAATTCCTCACACCATGCTTTCTTTCATATCTTGATCTTTGCATGTGTTCTTCTCTCTGCATAGAATACCTTCTCTTGGCTAACCCCTGTTTACTCTTCAATTCTGTTCCTCTTTCAAAATGCCCTCCCAGAATCTACTGGACTAAATTAGATGCTCTTCTATGTGCTCCCATAGCATCTGTGCCTTCATAACACTTAACATACCACATTCCATTTGCCTCCCTAATGTGCCTGCTTCCCCCTATAGGAACTGTGTTTTGCTCACAACTGTATTGTAGGGCCTAACATAGTGCCAGAGATACAGATGCCAATATTTATTGAATCAAATAAATGGGAGTAGGGCAATCTTTAAGAAACATGAGGAGCTATAGGACAATAACATTTCAATAAATCTGGAAAAGAAACTGGAAGGAATAGTATTTTTCAAAAGTTCCTGTTGTATATTTCCAGTCCAGTAAGGATCATCTTAAGAATGGAGAAAGTGCTTTTTAAGGAAAAGTATGAAAAACTAATGACCTTTAATAATCTGGGGGTCCGTAAGAGCAGCGGTCCCCAACCTTTTTCGTACCAGGGACCGGTTTCTGGAAGACAATTTTTCCATGTACTGGGGCCGTGGTTTGGGTGGCGGGATGGTTTGGGCGGTAACGCGAGTGATGGAGAGCAGCAGGTGATGCTTCGCTCCCTCACCCTCTGCTCACCTCCTGCTGTGCGGCTGGGTTCCTAACAGGCCGTGGACCGGTACTGGTACTGGTCCACGGCCCAGGGGTTGGGGACCCCTGCGTTAGAGGATCATAGGCTTTATATACGTATGATCCTCCCTGAATGCCAACAGGACAAGGAATGGGTACATCTGCTTAGGAAGACAATGACTCAACCTAATAGGTCTGTTTGCTCTACTTTCCCCCATCTCCTCTACTTCCAGAATTCTCTGAACCCTGGGAGCCTCCCAGGCTTCTTTTCAGAGCACTTCTGAGAGGGAAGGTTGAAGAAGGAAGATGTTCCTGATTTTGGACAACAATTCTCATGCTTCAACCCCTTTTCCTATGTACTCCAGAGTATCCATGACTTTCTGCTAATCTCAGGATCTATGTAACAGGCAAGGTCTATTTTGTAGATTCTAATAGCTGAGAATTTCCTAAGATGTAGAGAAGCGTATTTTATTAGAAATTCCCTTATAGTCATCTTTATTCCAAGGCAGTGCTACTGAGTCCACATTCCTTTGAGGGAATATTAGCTTCTCAAATAGATTGGTACCAGTTTTTCAGCTGAGAATGGTGATATGGATGTGCTGGTGGGACGCTTACTCAAGTAGCTATTTATTTTTACAAAGAAAGAGAAATAAATTTATACTTTACCATCACTTTCAGCTAAAGGGGAAAAAAGAGAAACAAAATATGTTAAATTCTATATTTCTACTCAATTTCCTCTCACCCTTCTCTTTTATTACTCTTTTCTGCCCCTCTGCATTCTTTAACCCCTGTCTTACTGGTGATGGCTTTTGTTGGCCCCATAAAAATATAATATAATCATCCAAAAGGTCCCATAAAATGAAGCTAATTAGACTTAGTGTGATCTCAGGTATGTTAGATATAAAACCTAAATCTAGGGTTTATAAATTGAAAATTGTAGCCAAAAAGAAATTTTATAAAGTGATAGATTTTACTCTTAAATGTATTGCTTCAATGGAAAGTCACCTAAGAACTTTCTATGAAGCTTTCAAATGAAACTAAACTGCCCAAGGAAGTTTAATCATAAGAATCTGTTTTTATTTGTCAAATGTATTTACATAAAGTGGTATAACTCACAGAACTCTAGATTTCAGATATGTATCTCTTACATAATTTGCCAGGTTGCTTTGGGAAATCGTATATCCAATTTTCTGGGATTTTCATGACGTGCACCTGCAGCCACCTTGTGAGTAGGCTACTACTAACTAAGTGCCAGGACATGTGGCAGGACAAGGTGCTGGGACCTTGACTATGTTATGCTTAATTTCTAGAGATCCAGTATTTTTTTTTTTTTTCCAAGAGAAGTGTGTCATTAGTGTTACAATGGAATCTGGTGACAAAAAACAAGTCACTTAATAGTTCACCTTACAACATCTTTTCTAGTTGAATACATTTATCTAAACCCTGTATTTGGCCTACGGTTTTGAACTTACCTACAAAGTAAAGTGTATTGTTAATAAATTTCATTTCCACAAAGCTGATGCAATTGTCTTCTACTGGTTCAGCAGCCATCTTTATTCCTAATGAAAGCAAAGAGTCATCTGTTAAAAGGTAGTGATTGTTCCTTTTACACAAAAGGAATCTTTTACCACTTATTGCCTTGTTCTACCTCCAATTTCAGAAATCCAGCATGCTGACGAACACTCTGGACATTTAATAAATGCCAGGAATCTTCAGTTTATGAATGTACAAGTTCAAATGTTCTTTCGCAAACCATTAGATATTCGGAATCTAGAAAGCATTTTCTCATTAAACAATGTTATAAAGGGTGGATGTGTGGTCTGTTATTGAACTGAATTATTGTTCCAGTATTTTGGTGGAAATATACATATATTATCAGAATAAATACAGGATGCCAGAAACACACCTAATCCTGTCCTTTAACTAGGGGCTGGTTCTATCTCTGTCTTACAACCAATGGGATCCTGTGAGTGAGAGACTGCAGATTGTGACTTCATTGTCAAAGTGCTAAAGGTGAGGCAATGATAAAAAATGGTGTTTCTACCTGGGAGTGGGGGCTAGGTGGGAGGAGGCTGAAGGGCTCTGGCATCTGATGGCTCTCTTTCTCTCTGAGCAACAGCAGCTTTTGATCTGGAGTCTGGACTATACTATGCTTTTTGCACAAGGAATACATGAATACAATCTTCCTGTAAAACATCAAATAATATAGGATTTGAAAATGTTAAAAATTCTTTTTGCTCTTCTCCTTTGTGCCACCCCACCCAACCCCATTCCAGTATGGTGTATATCCTTCCAGATCTTTGTTTATGGAGCAGGGGTTCTAAATCTGGGAAATCTGTGAACTTGGATGGGGAAAAAATTACACAATTATTTTCACCAACTTCTAACTGAAATTTAACAGTTCCTTCCATTATGGTGTAGGAAACAAACCACAGTATTATTCACAGTACCTGTGACTATCATTAATAGACATACATATTTCTTACTGTATTGTAATTGTTGCAGAGATCTTGAAATATGGTTTAAACTCATTTCTACTTTGAAATATATGGAAGTTATTAGTCCCAACAGGACATCTTGTTGTTAATGTGTTAATAAAGATGCACATATATACCTTATCAAAATTTGTTAAAAATTTTTTGATAACCCTTTAATTACAAAGGGTTTCCTTTCTCATTCTAAGTATTTAATTTTATGCATATAAAAGCGTGATTCTGAGAAGGGGTCCACAGACTTCACCTGATTGTCCATGAGGGTCCATGCCACAGAAATGATTAAGAAATTCTCCTCTAGAGTTCAGAAGTCCCTTGGTTTCCTGAGGACAGTTTTATGGTTGGTGCTCCAAGGAAGGTGGTTGGGTCACAGTTGTCAATTGGTATATATGGGGGTGTTCATACGTCTATACTTAGAGGTTGAGAAATGACTCAAATTTTTTCTAGCATAGTTTGCTGAGGTCAAACATATACAGGGGAAGCAGGAAATTAATACCCAGTAGAAAACACTTAATCCAAATTAAGCTAACACAAAATAAATGCTAGTTGATGGCTATTTTTTGTTTTGTTTTGTTTTACTTTTTATTATGGAAAATTTGTATACATTGTGAAATGATCACCACAATAAATCTAGTTACCATCTGTCACTGTACAGTTACAAAAATCTTTTTTTTATTGTGATGAGAACTTCTAAGACGACTTATTAGTAACTTTCAAATTTGCAATACAATATTATTGACTATAGTCTACACGCTGTACTTTACATCCCATAACTTATTTATTTTATAACTTGAAGTTTGTACCTCTTGATCCCCTTTACTCATTTTGCCCACCCCCTCCCCATCCCCTCTGTTGACCACTAATCTGTTTTCTATGAGCTTTATTTTATTTTGTTTTGTTTGTTCATTTGTTTTTTTTTTTTAGATTCCACATATAAGTGAAATCATGTAGTATTTATCTCTCTGTCTGATTTATTTCACTTAGCATAATGCTCTCAAGGTGTATTAATGTTGTTGCAAGATTTCATTATTTTTATGAATGGTAGCCCATTATATATACCATATCTTCTTTATCCATTCATCCATCCATTGATGGACACTTACATTGTTTCTATATTTTGGCTATTGCGAATAATCCTGCAATGAACACAGGGGTGAATATATCTTTTTGAATTAGTGTTTTTTGTTTTCTTCAGATAAATAAGCAGAAGAAGAATTGCTGGATCATATGGTAGTTCTATTTTTAACTTTTTGAGGAGATTCCATACTGTTTTCCACAGTGTCTGCACAAATTTACATTTCCATCAACAGTGCACAAGAGTTCCCTTTATCCCACATCTTCGCCAACACTTGTCATTTCTTGTTCTTTTGATAATAGCCATTCTGACAGATGTGAGATGATAAGTCGTGGTTTTGATTTGCATTTCTCTGATGGTTAGTGATGTTGAGCATCTTTTTAATGTACATGTTGGCTATCTGTATGTCTTTTTTGGAAAAATGTCTATTCAGATCTTCTGACCATTTTAAAAAATAATTTTTTATAAAATTATTTATTTATTTATTTTTGGCTGCGTTGGGTCTTCGTTGCTGTACGTGGGCTTTCTCTAGTTGTGGCGAGTGGGGGCTATGGGCCTCTCATAGCAGTGGCTTCTCTTGTTGCATAGCACGGGCTCTAGGTGCGTGGGCTTCAGTAGTCGTGACATGTGGGCTCAGTAGTTGTGGCTCACGGGCTCTAGAGTGCAGGCTCAGTAGCTGTGGTGCATGGGCTTAGTTGCTCCGTGGCATGTGGGATCTTCCCAGACCAGGGCTCGAACCTGTGTCCCCTGCATTGGCAGGGGGATTCTTAACCACTGTGCCATCAGCGAAGCCCCTTCTGACCATTTTTAAGGTCAGGTTTTTTGTGGTTGTTGTTATTATTGAGTTGTGTGTGTTCTTTATATATTTTGAATATTAATCCCTTATTGGATATGATTTGCAAATATCTTCTCCCATTCAGTAGGCTGAATTTTTATTTTGTTGATGGCTTCTTCATTGTGCAGAAGCTTTTTTGTTTGATATAGTCTCATTTGTATAGTTTTGCTTTGGTTGCCATTGCCTTTGGAATCAGAGCCAAAAATATATATATATTGCTAGACTGATGTCAAGGAAATATCTGCCTATGTTTTCTTCTAGGAGTTTTATGGTTTCTGGTCTTACATTCAAGTCTTTAATCCACTTTGAGTTAATTTTTCTGTATGGTGTAAAATAGTTGGTCAGTTTCATTCTTCTACATGTGGCTGTCCAGTTTTCCCAATACAATTTATTGAAGAGACTGTCTTTTCCCATTGTATATTCTTGCCTCCTTTTTCATAGATTAATTGGTCATATATGTGTGGGTTTATTTCTGGGCTCTCTGTTTTGTTCCATTGAGCTATGTGTTTGTTTTTGTGTTAATACCACACTGTTTTGATTAATATAGCTTTGTAATATAGTTTGAAATCAGGGAGTGTAATGCCTCCAACTTTGTTCTTCTTTCTCAAGATTGCTTTGGTTATTTGGAATCTTTTGTGGTTCCATACAAATTTTAGGATTTATTGTTCTATGTCTGTGAAAAATGCCATTGAAATTTTGATAGGGATTGCATTGAATATGTATATTGCTTTGGGTAATACGGACATTTTAATCATATTAATTCTTCCAATTTGTGAGCATGGAATATATTTCTATTTATTTGTGTCTTCTTCAGTTTCTTTCATCAATGTCTTATAGTTTTCAGCATACAGATCTTTCACCTCCTTGGTTAAATTTATTCCTAGATATTGTATTCTTTTTGATACAATTGTAAATGGGATTGTTTTCTTAATTTCTCTTTCTTATACTTTGTTGTTAGTGTATAAAAATGCAACAGATGTTTGTATATTGATATTGTACTCTGCGGTTTTACTGTATTCATTTATTCTAACAGTTTTTTTTTTTTTTTGGAGTCGTAGGGTTTTCTATATATAAAATCATGTTTTCTGCAAATAGTGACAGTTCTACTTCTTCCTTTCCAATTTGGATGTCTTTTATTTCTTTTTTCTATGAATTGCCCTAGCTAGGAATTCCCATACTGTGTTGAATAAAACTGGCAATAGGCGGTATTCTTGTCGTGTTCCTGATCTTAAACAAAAAGCTTTCAGCTTTTTGCTGTTGACTATGATGTTAGCTGTGGGCTTGTCATATATGGCCTTTATTATGTTGAGGTACACTCTCTCTATACCCACTTTGTTGAGGGTTTTTATTATGAATGGTTGTTGAATTTTGTCAAAGACTTTTGCATTTATTGAGATGATCATATGATTTTTATCCTTTATTTTGTTAATCTAGTGTATCACATTGACTTGTGGATGTTGAATCATCTTTGCATTCCTGGAATAAATCCCACTTGATCATGGTGTATGATCCTGCTAACGTATTGTTGAATTCAGTTTACTAATATTTTGTTGAGGACTTTTCATCTATATTCATGAGGGATGTTAGTCCGTAATTTTCTTTTTTTGTGGTTTCCTTGTCTGATTTTGGTATCAAGGTAATGCTAGCCTTGTAAAATGAGTTTGGGAGCATTCACTTCTCTTCAGTTTTTTGGAAGAGTTTGAAAAGGATTGGTATCAATCTTTGAATGTTTGGTAGAATTCATTAGTGAAGACTTCTGTCCTGGACATTTTTTGTTGGAAGTTTTTTGATAACTGATTCAATTCAGTCTTGGAAGACTGTGTGTTTCCAGAAATTATCCATTTCTTTTAGGTTGTCTGATTAGTTGCTGTATAATTGTTTATAGTAGTTTTTTATGATACTTTGTATTTCTTTGTATCAGTTGTAATTTCTCCTCCTTCATTTATGATCTTTTTTGTTTGAGCTCTTTGTCTTTTCCTCTTGTCTACTTAAAGGTTTGTCAATTTTGTTTATCTTTTCAAAGAACCAGATCCTAGTTTCCTTGATCTTTTCTATTGTCATTTTAGTTTGTATTTCATTTGTTTCTGCTCTGATTTTTATTATTTCCTTCCTTTTACTGACTTTGGGATTAATTTGTTCTTTTTTAATTTCCTTTAGGTATAAAGTTAGATTGTTTACTTGAGATTTTTCTTGTTCCTTGAGGTAGGCCTGTATCACTATAAACTTCCCTCTTAGAACTGCTTTTGTGCATCCCATAAGTTTTGGCATGTTAATTTTCCATTTTCACTTGTCTCAAGATAATTTTTTAATTTCTCTTTTGATTTGTTCATTGACCCATTGGTTGTTCAGTAGAATGTTGTTTAATCTCCACATATTTGTGATTTTTCCAGTTTTCTTAGTAATTGATTTCTAGTTTCAAATCATTGTAGTGAGAAAAGATGCTTGATATGATTTTCATTTTAAATTGATGAGACTTGTTTTGTGGCCTAACATATTGTCTGTCTTGGAGAATGTTCCACATGAACTTCAGTGCACTTGAGAAGAATGTGTATTCTGTTGCTTTTGGCTGGAATGTTCTGTATATACCTATTAAGTCTATTGGACTAATGTGTCTTTTAAAGCTGATGTTTCCTTATTGATTTTCTGTGTGGATGACCTATCCATTGATGTAAGTGAGATATTAAAATCCCCTACTCTTACTGCTTTACTGTTAATTTCTCCCTTTAAGACCATTAATATATGATTTATATATTTAGGTGCTCCTATTTTGGGTGCATAGATCTT